GGGGACCTGGGGCTGCCGGGTGGGAAGAGAGCTGGATTTAATGGGAAATGGGCAAACGCTGCGAGCCCCGCATGGAGCTAGTCCTCATCGGGGCTGAGGCTGAGTGGAGCACCCTGGTCTCTCAGAGTAGATGCCTTTGTGGCTGGGGGTTCCACTTCTGCATGTGTGGAGCTGCAAACAAGAAAATCAATGGACAGCATCCCAAAGATCTAGAGAGTCCATAATGATCAAAAGAAAGAGGAAAATGAGAAAGGAATGTTTATTCCTCTGAATCATCTAGAATTTGTTCTTTAGGTAGTTGTGCCACGGTAGACAGAAGACTATACCTACAGTCCTGTGGACCTGGTTTGAATGTTGGCTTGAGGAAAAACAACATTGCCTCTACTTCTTCATCAGTAAAATGGAGAGGATACCTTTATCCTGTGGTGATTATGAAGACTCATTCATTGAACACATTTTATTGAGCATTAACTAAATCATAGGCCAGAGGCTGGTGTTAAAGAACAGACAACAGTCATCATGAAAATGCCAAGTGCATGACAGCGCACAAAAACGTTGGGAACTATGAAACAGTGCTTAACGTGATTCATATTTTTACCATCTAATTGTTTCACTAGGTTGTACGCTACAGAAGGGCATGCTTTGATCTACCCTATTCACAAAGTCTGAAGCATCGTAGAAGCTCAACACATATTGAGTTTCAGTGAATGACATGGAGGATGAGAGGTCAGGGACAGGTCAGGTCTTACCCAAAATATCTCTGGTCCTTTCACTTCCTCCCAGCACTACTTGGACACAAGCACAGTGTCCTAGCAGAGCCAATCCCCAGAGTTCACACCAGACATATTTGGTTGTGTTTAATTTTATGTTCTGTCTTAGAGTGAAAGTTTGCTGATAAGACAGTCTGCGGCAGGCCATTCTCAAATGCCTTTATTCTAGAAAGTACAACAAAGGCTCACATTCTGCATTTAATTAGGTCTATACTTCTTTTAGCCTTACTTGGTTGAAACGAAAACAAATTATCGGTAGGCAAATGAGACACCACATGGAGATTTTGAAATCTCCTTAACTCTGACTTAACTAAAGAATGTAGGAACTCCATCCCATTTGGGAGGGAGAAGGAAAAGGAAGCATTTCAAATCTGCCCCACAAGCTTTCAGCTCATTGTAAGATGAAACGTTATTCTCAACATCTATCTATCTATCTATCTATCTATCTATCTATCTATCTATCTATCTATCTATCCATCCAACAGACACACACATACCGTCTCTAGGTTTGAGTCCTTAGTTCAATTCTTATTAACCATGTGGCCTTGGACAAGTTACTTATTCTAAGTCTCAGTTTTCTCTTCTTGGGTAGAATAAAACCCAACTCACAGGGCTATAGGACTATTATAAATGACATAATGCATAAAAAACTCTTGGTCTTTGGCTCATTGGAAGCATTCAATAAATGGCAATTGTTGTTTAATGTTATTGTTATTCTATAGTTTAAACTGTATAATTCCTATCCAGTTTCTGCATTCCTTCACCCTGGCACTGTTGACATTTTGGGCTGGATAATTCTTTGTATGGGTCATTCTGTGCATTTAGCTTGTTTTAGCAGCATCTCTGGCCTCCCCCCAGTAGATGCCAGTAATATCTCACAACCAGGAATGGTGACCAAAATATCTTGAGACATTGCCAAATGTTCCCTGGGAGACAAAACTTCTGCCGTTTGGGAAGCATTGGTACAGAACAAAGAGCAGTGAGTGGTCCTCGAGATAGGAGACCTGGTTTCTATTTGTTGATTGGTGATCTTGGGTAAGTCCTACCACTTCCCTGGGCCTTGGTTTTCTCATATGGTAAAAGAGGGCAGGAAATTCCTACTTTCTCTTTCATAATTTTTATAAGAATGAAAGAGAAAGAAAATCAATGCTCACAGGCAGTGTTATGCTATTATCACTAAGTTGCTAGAGGTGGTCTATTGAGGGGCAATTCCGAGAAGCCTTGCCCAGTGACAACAGCTGATGCCAACCTGTTTTCTTCTTTAATTCTCCCCTTGGGGAGCCACTGGCCTCCCAGCAGCTGCTTCTTGATCAATGTCAAGGATTCCCTGTGCCTTTAATGGATGTACTTGTGGCTTGGCTTGAAGAATTCAAGAGGAACTGTTTCCTTTCAACATGAAATGAAGATGCTCTTTTTGATAAAAATTATTGTAAGTGGAGAAAACTGCCTTGTCATCTCTAGATTTAGCATTCATTTAAATTTATCTCTCACATGACAAGAACTAACCAGTGGTCAGAATGTTAACTTGTCCTCTGTGGACTGATATTCAGAAAGAAAGGGTCTCAGGGTTTCTAACATCACTGTACTGATTAATACTATGCTAATACAGAGTAATACGAGGGTGGACTTCCTCATCAGTAAGGGAACACTTTTTGATGTCATAGCATATTAGGAGAATCTGTATACTAGAATCCAGAGGTGCAGCCTATTGTCATTCTTTTATCTATTTCTGAAAAAAATCTTGAAATGGAAGCTAGCAGCGTGTCTGGGGAAAAGAGCTGTAAGCTTTGAGTTTGGTCAGAGTTATATGTAGATAGAGGAGGGTTCCGGTCCAATCTCATCATCTGTGTGATGTAGACCAGTCCTTTAGCCCTTCTGAACCTCAGTCGACTACACTAACACTTACCCTATGGTGTGGATATGAGTTTTAAATGCACATGAATATGTAAAGTGCAGAGCATTGTACAGGCACATGGTAAGTGTTTTGTGAGATGTAAGTGATCTTTCTCTCTATATCCACAGTCTGAAAGACTGTTTAAAGATTTCTTTCATCCCTCAAAGTCTGTATTTGTTCTGATTGCTTCAGGAAGGTCACTGAAATGAAAACCATACTTTTTAAGGTATAATTTAGAGTCTTGACTAAACTAAACTAATTGTAATAAGGCTTGAATCAGCTTATCAACAAATCATCCAGTTTATGAACAAATTACCTCCCTACTTCTAGTTGGAAATTAAGGGTCAGAAGTCACCCAAAGGACAATTGCATTTACCCAGAGAGGAACGTACAATGTGTTTCTTTCCTGAAATAATTCATTTGGTCTCCTTAAGGACACATGTCAGTATTCTGAGATAGCATGGTAGAGTAGCATGAAGATGAGGTTGGAGTCAGACAGACATGCCATTAGGTAGTTGGGTGTAACATCGGCAACATAGGGTTAATAATACCCATCACAGTGTAAGGGCAAGTATAAAGCCTATGAAAACCCCAAGCACCATGCCTGACACATTGAAGGCGCTCAGTTAGTGATGCTTTTCATCCTTGACTTTCTTATAGATCTTTGTACCTTATCTGGTTTATGAAAAGGGGTGGACAGCTAAGTAAATGATTATAAATCTACATTTTATTTTAATTCCTTTCCTATTAATGTTGAATATAGCATGTGGGAAAAGTCATGAATTATTAAGGGCACACCATTTAAAAAATACCGGATAATTTGCTTTGAAGTTTCCAATGGTGGCTCTGGAAGAGTTTTACTTCATAATTTGTTCTTTATGCTGTATATGAAGGCAGTTTAAAGCCCAGCAATACAAAAGGGGTCTGGTCCTCTTTCTCAAACTTGGCATGTTTAACCACCCATAAAATCATTTTGCAAGAGAAGACAATATAGTAACAGGTAACACATAAGAATGAAATTATAGAATAATAGTTTCCCACATTTTCATCACTAAAGTTTCTTTTTAACATTTTTATTACTTCTTCCTAGGGGCCTTTTTGGTATGTTTTAGCTTCCTCTTTGTTCCATAACATTCGTGCTAACTTCTATTGCATCATACGCACTGCATTGTGATTGTAATGTGAATCACATTTTATTTCTCTTTCAAAACCCCTGCTCCACAGTGGGCTCTCAATATTTGCTAAACTGAGAGCAAACATTCCTCTCTCTCTGTTGACTACATACCAATTATAGTAGATTCCTCTTTATATATTGACTATATTATTGGTTAAGCATTTACTATCTTCAAGACATCATAGAGTTTTTTTTAACAACCCATTTATTCTCCCAGTACCCCCCAGGTGGATGTTATTATTATGTCCATTTTCCTGCTATGGCTTTCCCCACAGCGACACTGGACTGTATGCCTGGAGAGCCCAGTTGACATTATCTATGAGAACTAGGATCAGGAAGAAGAGTCAGTTCCAAAACAGTCCCAAACTCCAGGGTTCGCCCTTATTTTCATTCTCTTTTCTTTCTCCTACCCTCCAAACAGTTTTCTAGGAAATGGAACAAACTGATTCAGGAATTTCATTTTCTTCCCACACTTCTGTGGCATAACAGGATGACACAGACGACACAGTTTAGCTACACATTGCCCTGGATGACTAACACCTGTAGATTCATCCTGCCTCGTGGGTGTTCTCAAGGACAAAGGGAAAACAGTTCTCTTTCGGCTTCCAGTACACCTGTCATGCTAAAATGGCTGTATGTGGACATGGACCATGGAAGGGAATGTCTTTTTCTACATGACTGACTGTGATGAGCTGATTCCCTTGCACCTGTTACACCCACTAATCACAATGGCTGTGGGAATAAAGTAGTTTGCTCCCAGAGAGTGTGAGCTGGTACCCTAAAAGGTGTTTTATATAGACGCAGCAAGTTTTATCTGCCTTAGAAACATAGTTTGGGATCTAGCAAACACGACCCCTCTCCTTTGCCCCCTTATCGACTCTGCTAAGGGCAGGGAGAGAGAGAGGGGCTCTTTTAAAAGTCCCTGAATAGGGCGCCTGGGTGGCTCAGTTGGTTAAGCGACTGTCTTCGGCTCAGGTCATGATCCTGGAGTCCCGGGATCGAGTCCCGCATCGGGCTCCCTGCTCGGCGGGGAGTCTGCTTCTCCCTCTGACCCTCCCCCTCTCATGCTCTCTCTCTCTCGAATAAATAAATCAAATCTTTAAAAAAATAAAAAAATAAAATAAAAAAAATAAAAGTCCCTGAATACGTTAAGGGCATTTACCACAGGCTGGGATGTCGCACAGGTCAGACTTGAAATTTTCATCCAAGGTGAAGCACCAGGGAGCCTCCTCCTGATTCCCTGGATTGCGGCAGTAGGAATGGCCCCCGTTCAGCTCCGGGAAACGGAGGGCGGTAAAGGTGTGCATGTGGGGGTACTGGGAATTCCACGGCTGGCACTGGCGCCCTGATTTGGTCACACTCACGGTTCCCCGGTAGTCCACACCTGTGTTGTTATAGCACCTGTGATCTGAAAAACGGAAGGGAGAATGGCCCAAACCGTGAGAAAGAAACAAGAGATGCTGGAGCTCCCAGACAGCAGTTTCTGGAAGAAGGACTTGCAATTAACCTCATGGCTAAGGCTCCCCTGCTGGTCAGGGGCCATGTGGGCAGTCTCCCTGCTTGCCGGGCTGGGACACCGGTCCTGCCTGGCAGCTACATTCCTGGGAGGATTTAAAGCTCATGCGTCAGGAATAAAACCAGTCCTCCACAAGGCCTTTTAATACTGAACACACACACACAAAAATCAGAACTGGGGGCGGGACTCGGGGGCACAGGAGTAATTTCATAGTGAATGGTTCAGGAAAGGTTCAAGCCGAACGCTTCTTTCCATTTTTGCTTGATGTCTTTAGACATGAATCGTGGGATAAAGAATCTAGTTCCCAGAAAATGTTCACTAGGAGCAGTGCATGTGGGTTTCTAACAGAAGTTAGGGCCACTCTGTGCTGATGGACTGGGTCTTTTGGAGAAGGAAGTCCTCTTCCCAGGGGACCACAAGGCTGTTACTTGAAAGCACTGCAAAAATCCATTGAGTTGAAATCAATCAAAATATGGAGGGGTAATGATAAAATAATAGTAATAATGAAGATATTGCTATTATTAAGTGCTAAGCATAGTTCTAAGTGTTTTAGATGCCTTAATTCATATAACTAATAGCATAATATTAAATTACAAAAGGAAACTAAAAAACTACCAGTGAGTTTAATTCTAGGTGAATGGGAAGTTATAGAGGAACAGAATTGAGAGGACAGTGGATAGAGGCAAGCTCCATGGATATGTATTTTAAATTGTGGTACAATATACATATCATAAAATTTACCATTAGTGTATTTAGAACATTCAAAATATTGTGCAACCTTCACCACTATCTCATTCCAGAACACCTGGATCATCCCCAAGGAAACCCTATACTCACTCAGCAGTCACTCCCCAAGCCCCCCACCCCATCCCTGGTAACCACTAATGGGCTTTCTGTCTCCATGGGTTTGTCTATCCTGGATATTTCATAGAAATGGAATCACACAATGGTTTCTGGCTTCTTTGGCTTTCATAATACTTTCAAGTTTCAGCCATGTTGTAGCATGTAACAGGATTTTATTCCTTTTTTTTTTTTTTTAAAGATCTTATTTATTCATTTGAGAGAGAGACAGAGAGAGCAAAAGCAGAGGGAGAGGCAGAGGTAGAGGGAGAAGCAGACTCCCTGCTGAGCTGGGAGCCCGATGTGGGACTCGATCCCAGGACCTGGAGATCATGACCTGAGCCGAAGGCAGACAGATGCTTAACCATCTGAGCCACCCAGGCACCCCAGGATTTTATTCCTTTTTATGGGTGAATCATATTTCCTTATATAGATATACCACAATTTGTTTATCCACTCATCTGCCGATGGACACTTGGGTTGTTTCTACCTTTCAGCCATTGTGAATAGACCTGTTATGAACACCTGCATACAAGTTTTTGTTTGAACACCTTTTTCAAATTCTTGTGAGTGTACCCTCCAGGACTGGCACTGCGGGTCAAATGGCAATTCTATTTAAGTCACTGAAGAACCAGCAACCATATTTAGAGATTATCATCTTCATGAAGCTTCTTGAGGATAGGGACAGCATCCAATCCACCACTGAAAGCTCCGCCCCCACACAGCATTTGGCCCACTGGAAGGTAATCTGCCTGTTTACCAGTAAGAATCCTTGCTACAGATCGAGGTCCAGTTTTCACTACGCCATGGGGTTGCTGGCCCCCAGGCAGCACAGAAGGTCAGGAGTTACCACCTACTTTTATTGATAGGATCCGCCATGGGAATTCCAATCCGGATGCAGTTTGCGGCTTCAGGGCTCTCAGGCTGGGGGAGATCTTCACAGTTTGGCAGTTTCAGCCTCATCAGGATCATGGGATTTGATCTTGCAAAAATGTACTCTGTTTGACACAGGACGTTTTCCAGGATTTCACATTCATCGCGACACAGGTCCCGGGGCTTCGGGATGGATGAGGTCTCGTCGCAGTACGGGAAGGCGTAGTGGCACAGAGAAGGAATGGCAAACTGGGAGCACTTATCAGATAAGTGGCTGGAGGTGCCGATCATGGTGAAGGCAGCTGGAAAACAAACACAGTTATTAACTCCCAAGGGCCAGGGTTTATCTCCTTTGGTTATCTGGTCAATAGATACCAGAGAGAAACATACATCGGAAGGAATCCGCTGCACTCACACAAGGCCAAGAGGAGATTCAGTTCAGATGTCCAAGCGGCTTACTTTCACTGGCTTGGAAAAAAATCATTTTGACTACAAAGCTAAAAAAACAGGATTAAGTTACATATGTACCGTTTCCTAATAAAAAGAATTAATTAGGTTAAAGCACAATATATTTTTCATTTTTACTACAAAGCAACAGAACTTTGTGTTTCATCCGGTACTTTTTTATTAGTTTTATGAAACTTCTAAAACATTTGACAGCTGCAGGGCAGAACTCGCTGTCTGCGGTGGCGGAGCCTGATCCCAGGATTTGGTTCTGTGTCTTGCCTCTGAGGTGGGTGACTCTGGGCAACTTTAATTTCTTTGTGTCTCTGATATTCCCTATTCCATTTTCTGAAAATGAGGCAATTCTCTTGGAAGTTCTCAAAAAAGCACAATGCAGTCATTCCAGGCTGTGTATCAGTGGTCACTTAGCCTGACTTTTTACTCAGCTCGGCATCCGTGGACGGAAAGAGTACTTGCCTCCCTTTGCACTGAAAGGAGCTTTACCTCATGAGACAGCCTGGGGGTGGTTGGTACGCTGTCTCCCAATGTATGTTCCTCAGAACAGTCGCTCTGTAGCATAGTCATAGTGTTTGAGAAACTAGGGTTCCAGAGCCAAACAAGTTTGGGAAATGCCGGGTTACACAAAATTAAGTGGCTTTTTTTAATTGTAATAATTTCCAGTAAGCAGATGTCCACTGAAAATGTCTAAGAGATGATTATTACAAGTGGGTGATGAAACATTGACATCGGAACTCCCATTTATTTTTGTGAATACTTAGTGAAAAAATATGTTAAGGTGTTCTTATATTAGGTTGAAATGTGCCTTCAACAGCCCCTCCCCATTAGTCAGTCCTGCTTCTGTCCTCTGGCATTTCAGAGTTCGTCCTCCTGAAAGTTCTTCAGCAGGTGGTAACTCCAGCTTTCTATAGTTGCTTCTCTAGGTTAAATAGCTCCCCTGGGCTCCTCTTAGTTCCTTCATATTCCTCAGGACATAGTTTCTAGATGCTTCGCTGTTCTGTGCACCTGCCTCAGGTTTGTTCAATCCTAAGGTTGCCAGATAAACTACAAGGCACTTCATTTCCTTTGAACCTCAGGTAAACATTTGGAACATACTTACAGTAAAAAACTATCCACTGTTTATCTGAAATTCAAATGTAACTGGGTGTCCTGTATTTTTATTTGCTAAAGCTGGCAACCTTATTAGAATCCCATAAAGGCAATTTTAATGGCTTGCAAGGGTATGTGGCAACGGGGCATAACTACACTAATGGAAGAAACACAAGGCTGCTGTAACCACCAGAACCAGGTGTACAAAATTGTACAAGGTGGCCTACACTGCTTTGCTCATGCATGCTAGAAAGTGCGTCACTATTGGATTTCCATTAAAAAGATACTTTTGATTCAGAAACATGAAGGGTAAAATAAGAGAAGGCTAGAGCAGGAAGAGACTTATGATCATCCTGCCACATCACTCATTCCACTGATGAAGAGAGAGATTTTCATGAAGAATAAGAGATTTCCCCAAAGTCACAGTATTGGTGTCCAGAATTCTAGACTCTAAATTGATTTAGAGTTTACATGACTTTCAGTCTACACGATATTGTCTCCAAGCAGTAACTCTATGAGGGCAGTGATGTAAGCTGGCTTATTCATCACACCGGCATATCCCCAGTGCCCCGTCCAGTTCCTGGTATGCCCCAAAACACTAATAATCTTCATCGAGTGTCTGAATGAATGTGAGACTTTTCAGAGCACCCTTTTCCTCTAAGAGCAACAACCTTCAATAAAGTATTCTAATGAACATTCCAGAACAGAGAGGTCGTATCTCCTGCTTCTTTGTGGTCCAGCTCCTAACCCCTATGCCTAGCCCAATCCTTTGTCAAGAGAGGAGCTCAAGAAAACGTTTGGTGAGAAAAAGAGTTATACAAGGTATCAGTACAGTTTCATTAGTGTTACCTACCTGTGATCTGATTTTCTATTTCCCCTTGCATGTGCAAAGACTCCATATAGACAGTGCGGTTGCCAATAAATCTTGCACACGCAATCCCTCTGTATGGCTGACAGAATCCATCTTCTTCAAACTCATCTCTAGAAACAGAGCACAGACATTAGGGGCTGGTATACATTTACATCCAGTTGGCTCTCACTGTGTCATGTCCGAAACAGTCGCTAGGGGGAGAAGCTGAGCACAGTAGCCCCAAGGCAGGCCTAAGGAGTCCGGCTTTTCCTCAGTTCCACCCATCACTTAAAATATCTGCTGGTCACGTTGGTCAAGTTTCCTTCACCCCCAGAAAATCACTCTGAAGCGCAAAATCATCCTTAAATAGGGGAGAAAGCACTTTTATTTTCGCAGCTGGTGGTGATGTAGTTATAAAAGTAAAGAGGAAATGAGTTGGGAATCTGGGCACATGTTCTACAGTTTTTTGTTTTTTAAGCACAGATTATTTCTGCTTCATTTGCTACAAAGCCGTGGGCGCATTATCCACAAGATCCACTCCAACTGATGTGTCAATTAGGAGGCTCCATGGGGTGAGAAGCTGGGTGCAGCTGGAAAGAAACCAGAGGGCAGCGCAGTTATGTGGCTCTTCGCTGCTTAAGACCCATTATCTCTACCCAACAGAGAGACTCCAGGCAACCCGGGGACTGCACAATTTCAAATGAGTCACTAAATTCCAGGAAATCTAGAGTACGTGTCAATGAAAATCGTGCTTTCGTGATCCCCGACAACTTTAAAAATAATCTTAAAAAATTTTGTTGCCTCAAAATGATAATAAAAAAAGTAGGGGGAGTAGATTTTATTCTGAAGACGAGGGGATGCCAGATGGTGTGATTAGCGTCAGTGTGGCAAATGGCGGGACATCGAAGGCTGGAGGGTCGGACCCAAGATGGCAGCTTTAGCTTGAAAGGCTAGAGGCTATAACATCCCACGAGGGCCTACCATAAGTACAAGACACCAGAGTACAGAATATCCAGCTGGTTCTCAAAAGCAGACCACAGCCAAACAAAAGGCCACTTGCCACGCTTCTGGGCTGACCTCACCCTGGAGGCTCCCCCTCTGTTAACATGGCTGGAATCAGTACATTGTCTAAATAAAAAGATCAGTTTTCCTCTTCAGTTTCTTCTAAGTTAAAGTACTTTAGAGCCAAAGTCAGGAGAAGGAAATTGTCTTCCCGGGCTTAACATTTGCCTTTCCTTAGCCAATCTGAGTCCTCTGAGCTATGGTTTTCTTATCTATAAGATGAAGATAATCATTGACCTCTCTACCCTATAAGTGAAAGTCATGAGGACCCTATCAAACAATGTAAAGTGCTACTCAGAGGTAACACATGCTTATTATTGAAGTATTTATGATTACCAAAGAAGACATTTATTTAAAGTACAATTATTTACTAAGCTCCTATTTTGTAAAATCAACTCTAGTCAGTCTGATGGCCCTAGACATCCCCCCTTGGGGGTTCAGTGTGGGAATCTAGAAAGCCTGCTCTAACAGGAAACCAGGTGAAAAAAATCTGATAAAGCTGATCATTAAAAGACCAGTTTCCAGCAGCTCTCTACTTCCTATTCACTCTAACAGTCTTTTTGGAGGTAGAGATGGGGTGTGTGTGTGTGGGGGGGAAGTATCTTCGCTTTAGTTCCCAAAACAGTTTGCATTGCAAAGCTCTTAAAAACTTAACCTGTAAGTACACATACAAATGAATATATCACATACCTGACATGAAGACATTGAAATTTTAATGTAAAATCCTGCATGTTTACTTTCATAAATCCTAGAGTAATGTTGAAGCCTTTTTGGCTTAAATTTTACCTGGGTTGTAAAATTAACCCCACTTTTATTGGGTAACTAATACTGTAAACCTATGGGGAGAAAGAAGTTTCTCGATGACCTAGCCTTGGATCTTGGAAACCAAAGTACTGAGACCAGAATGCACAGCCACACCACCCCCTGCTATTACCGATGATGCTTTTCTATCCCTAGGCATTAGCAGAGTCCTGGACTTTTAAGGTGTCGTTATGAGAACACGTCTTCCTCCCCCACATTAAACTCTCAAGGCCTCAATTTATATCTCTTGGGAGGACAAAACCCTGGAATTAACCCCAGATGTAAATCCCCAACCTACTGGGAGTCCCCATATTTTATGTGTGAGGCTTAGGCTAAACTTCTTACCACCTTTCCAGTTCAAGACTCTAAAAAGACTCTTTGAATACTTTTTTTTTTCCATAATAAAAAGGAATGCAGTTCCTTGGCTGCATATTTCTTATCAAGGGCTTAGAGCTGCAGGTGTATTGAATTTTTGACTGTGCCCAGAATTCCTGATATTCTGACCAGTCTCTTGGGGACAGATATAAAAAGCAAAGCAAAGCAAAACAAAACAAAACAAAAAAAACGGTGTGTAATGTCATCTTCGAGGGAGTAGTTCTCAGCCCCGGCTGCTCTGAAGAATCTCCCCAGAAAGCTTTTGAAAACCCCAATGCCTAAGCCCCACCTCAGACTTACTAAATCATACTCTCTGGGGATGTGGTAGAGGCATGCATGCTTTTTAAAAAGCTCTCAGGTGATTTGAATGTGGTTGAGAACCACAGCGCTAGGAAAACAAACCTCTATTAAGTGTCTGCCACTCTTTGTGCTGGGTACCATGCTAAGTGCTTTCTTCCAAATAGTCCCTTATGTGGCATTATTATCCTTCTTTTACAGAGGGAGAGACTCAGGTTCAGAGAAATAACTGGCCCAAATTCACAAAGCCAGTTCTTGGTGGAGCTAGGATTTATTTTTATTTATTTTTTTTAAAGATTTTGTTTATTTATTTGAGACAGAGAGAATGAGAGACAGAGAGCATGAGAGGGAGGAGGGTCAGAGGGAGAAGCAGACTCCCTGCCGAGCAGGGAGCCCGATGCGGGACTCGATCCGGGGACTCCAGGATCATGACCTGAGCCGAAGGCAGTTGCTTAACCAACTGAGCCACCCAGGCGCCCCATGGAGCTAGGATTTAAACTTAAAGTATAAGCTTAAGCCATTACACCCTGTTGTCAGATCTATAATGATGGTCCTGTTTTCAGTATTACTTTTGATCAGATCAGCCCAATGATAAATAGGAGACTTTAAAATGAGCCTTTATTCTGGACCAGGAACTGTTAAGTTTCACTTACACATACAATTGATATTAAATCATTTAATCCTGCTAAAAAAGGGGAAGATGTAATCATCCTCATTTTACAGATGAGAAAACTGAGGGTCAGAAAGAGCGGAGAACTTGTCTAAATTTACACAGCAAGTAGAAGAGCTAGATTTGCCCCAAACTAGCACTTGTACACCATGGTATACAGCTTCCCTCCAAATGGTTTATGAAGGTTTTTGCACTGCTCACAGGGGCTTTCTGCTGTGAAGATGCCTTGGTGTGTGCCGGGTGGCAAAAAAGGTTTTCTTTAGAACATAGAGTCACAATCACCTTTCACGCTTTCCATTTTTCCTGCTGGCTTTTGGCTGGAGGGGAACCAATGCTCCTCCAACACTCATCAGCTCTATGCTTTTTTCTCCAGCTCACACTTCTTTCATCATTAATTTTGCTGAGCAAACTCAAAAACATGGAGCACACAGCAGCAAAAGTGCAAGGGCACTTACAGTGAGCATGGCCCAAGGCTGCGTTCTTTCTACGGAGAAGAGGGTGCATTGTGAAAGGGAATGGAATTTTGCATTGACATGTGCCAGCGACCTCACCGTGATGTCAAGAAGCAGGGATGCTTTGTGATGGGGACTCATGTTGTCTAACTCATAAAGTAATTTAGTTACCATGTTGCCAACCCTGATATCCTTCCACCTCAGGGGTCTCCCCAAGGAGCTTATGAGGGATGGTCAGTAAGAATGACCACGACCAATATGGCAGCCATAGGGGTATCTACCCAGGACCCACTGGAGACCAGTGAAAAGGAAATGCTGCCATTTCAAGTCACAACCCAAGGGGGGTTTTACAGCGACAGTGAAAACCAATAGCTACAAATTCCCGGGCCAACCTCTCAGGTCAGTTGACTAAAGCAGAGAACTCTGATGATGGAAAAAGCACGCTGCATGGTACGGGGCATGTGGAGACTATCTGTAGTTTTGCAAGCAGGGAGAAGGAAAGGAGGAGAAAGGGTGGGTGGGTGGGTGGAGTAGGGAAAGTGAAAAGATGGAGAATACTGCTCACCGATGCCCAAATGGGGTTGTGCCGATTTTGGACCATGAGAGGCCCACAACTGCTCTCCTTAGAGATTCCAGGGAGGGCAGGCTTTCTGAAGGCTGCCTTAATTTAAGGACACAAAAGAACGAACTCAATGGTTGTCTTAGTCATGTGATTTAAAAAGAAACCCTAAATATGACTGGAAAAACTGGCACGATTCAAATAAAGTCTGTAAATTAGTTTGTATCATACCAACGATAATTTATTACCTTTTTCTTAAATGTAGGCTCCACGTCCAGTGTGGAGTCTAACGCGGGGCTTGAACCCACGACCCTGAGATGGAGACCTGAGCTGAGATCAAGAGTCAGCTGCTTAACCTACTGAGACATCCAGGCGCCCCAATAATTTCTTACTTTTGATCATCCCACTATGTTTATGCAAGACATGAACATTAGGAAGAATGGGATGAAGGACATATGGAAACTCTCTGTACTATTTTTGCAACTTTTCTTAACTATAAAAATATTTCAAAATAAAAAGTAAAAATCTTATAGGATGGGGGAGGGTGGGAACCTTATTGTGTGTAGACGTAACTGGAGATGCTATGGGGTGAGGTGGTCAGGAAGGCCGTCAGATGACCTCATTTAATCTTTATAACAAACCTTATAACACTCCCTCTGGGCCTATCCCTGGGTGGTGGAATTCCCTTCTCTCACAATTCACTTACTTGTTTGAGGCTTGGCCTACTTCTAAATTCAAACACTTCCAGGAGTGATGACCTATTTGGTCAGGAAGCCCTTAGTGTAGATGGACTTCTGCTAGCTGCTGCAGGCACTCTCATCTTTATTGGAAGCTGTATAGGCTGGGGCAACGGATGAGAGGTCTGTGCTGGAAGAAGGCAATCTTCCCTGACTTGACAGTTAGCTCTGGGCCCAG